TCACAATTTCACAGTTCATGGGTTTGAGTCCCACATCAAGCTCCATGGTGACAGTGAACAGTCTGCTTGGGATTTTCTCTCTCTCTCTCTCTCTCTCCTTCTCTCCCTCTCTCTACCACTCCCCTTCTCTCTCTCTCTCTCCAGATTTCTCTCAAAATAAATAAACAAGTCACAGAAAGAGAAGAAATTTTAAAAGAGGAGTAAATATTTGAAGATGTAGATAAATGTTCGATTTTCTTAAAGATAATAGGCCTAAGATGGAAAGTGCCTACAGAGTGGCAAGAAGGAGAAAGAAAGAAAAATCCACACCACGTTATATTAATAATTAAAAATAAGAAAGACAAGGGCCCCTGAGTGGCTCAGTCAGTTAAGTATCCAACTATTGATATCCACTCAGGTCATGATCTTGCAGCCATGAGATCGAGCCTCAAGTTAAGCTCAGCACTGAGCAAGGAGCCTGCTTGGGACTCTCTCTCCCTCTCTGCCCCTCCTCCACTCACTCTCTGTCTCAAAATAAATAACCATTTTTTAAAAAAATAAAGGATAAAAGAGGCACCTGGGTGGCTCCGTCAGTTAAGCATCCAACTTCAGCTCAGGTCATGATATCGCAGTCTAGGGGTTCAAGTCCCATGGCAGGCTCTTGTGCTGACAGCTCAGAGCCTGGATCCTGCTTTGGATTCTGTGTCTCCTTCTCTCCCTCTGCCCCTCCCTTGCTCATGCTCTCTCTCTCTCTCTCTAAAAAAACTAAATAAACATTTTAAAAAATAAATTAAAAAAAAAGAATAAGAAAGATAAAGGAAAAACCTTAAAGGCTATCCAAAAGAAAAAGCATATCACATCAAAGAAATACAAATCAAGTTATTCAGAAGCAACACTGCCCTTTACATAAAGTCTTTACATAAAGACTATGTAAACAGAATTTCCAAAGTATTGAAGAAAAAACCTTAGAATTTAGAATTTTATTATCCAGCCCCAAATTAAATCAAATCTAAAGTCTTGATAAATACATTCTCAGGAATATAAGGCCTCAAAAGGTTTGCTATGGGAAGGCCCATGATGAAAACAGGGTGGGGACACACTTAAATAAGAGGACAAATACAAGAGATGCTGTAAGTGATATGTGAATAAGAGATCAAATATCTTGGTTGCTACCCTAAAGTTGGTTGTTAATATTAAAGAGAGGGCGAGAAAGAAATCTGTGATCAAAATAGAAGAAGAAACATTCTAATAAAACCCGTTTCAAAAGCTTAGATGCTATCAGTGTGTTGAGAGTTAGGTTCTCACAAGGGATGTAAAGGATTTAAACTGTGGTTCACCAACCTAGCTGGTCTGTGAAACGTTTGTCAGTTCTTGACAAGAGAAGTTTGTTGCGCCAAAGTGTGTATCAATCACATCACTAAATATACTGCTTAGGTCAGGTAGCATGATTTTTACATAAAGATATTCTCAATGAAAGGAGGGGTGCTTTATTTTTACATTCTCTAGCATGAGGTCCTTATCTCATTATGGATCAGTAACAATTCCCAGATGAGCATTTTGAGTAGATATAGCTATTAATTTAAAGGAGAGAAGGAGATGATGTGGGTGAAAAGAAACGAATCGAGAAAAAAAACAGAAATAATGAGATATTTCGAACAGGTCCAAATATATTAATAATTAATTAGCATAAATAAATATTAACTAAATTTTAAAAGATAAAGTCACAGTTTGGATTTTATAAAATCTAAAATATGCTGTTTATAAAAGATATTCCTAAAGCATAAGAACACATAAAAGTTTAAAGTAAAAGGACAGAAAATTGAATATGAAGCAAATTTAACCAAAAGAAAGTTGCCTACAGCCATTAATAACAACATACAAAATAAATGTCAAAGTAAAACATGTTATTAAGGACAGAGAATTCAACTCACTATTTAATGTAATTATCCAAGAAGATAAAGTAGTTTTAAATATGTAGTTACTAATAAAATTGCCTGAAAGTATATGAAGTAAATTTTAGTGGAGCTGCAGGAATAGAGCAATAAATCCACTATTATAGTGAGGAATTTCAGCACACTACTCTCAATTACTGAAAAGTCAAAGAGAAAAGAAAATGACAGATATACAGGATCTGAATTACACAACTAAAAAACAATCTAACGACCATATGACACTTAGAATAAAAATATTATTCTCAAGTACAGATGACTATAAAAATTTATCATGAATTAGGACATATAGGAAGTCTCAAGAATATTATAAAAATAAGTATGCAATTAGACATTAATATACAAATATAAATTTTTAATTCCCATTTACTAGACATTTATTTTTCAAAATCCTGATAAATGACTTGTGAATTAAAATGACATCATAATGGAAATTTTTAAATATCTAGAACTGAGGGCTGCCTGATGGTTCAGTCAGTTAAGCATCTTGAACTCTTGGTTTTGGCTCAGGTCATGAGCTCACTCACTGTTTGTGAATTCAAGCCCCACATCAGGCTCTGTGCTAACAGTGCAGAGCCTGCTTGGGATTCTCTCTCCCTCTCTCTCTCTGCCCCTCCTCTGCACATTTGTGCGCTCTCTCTCTCTCTCTCAAAACAAATAAACTTAAAAAAAATAAAATAACATATCTAGAACTGATTTAAATTTTTTTAATTCTATATCAAAATTTATGTGATACAAAAAAAGCAGTGATCTGAGGGAAATGTATAGCCTTAAACATTACTATTGATGAAAAAAATTGAAAGCCTCAAAATCAATGAATTAATTACCCATCTTAAGAGATTAGAAAAGGAGCAACAGGATAAAACTAAAAAAAAAAAAAAAAAACACAAGCTAAGAGATGAATGAAAACAAAGAATGGAGAAGATTAACAAAGCTAAAATGCCAAAATATGGCTATTTGGAAAAACTAACAAAATAAATAAGCTTTGGCAAAATTAATCAGGATGAATAAAGACACAAATGTTTTTATAAATAAAAACAATTATTATAGGAAAAATAGGAGTTAAAATGATTTTAAAAGACTTCTAAACAAGATGGAAAACCAGAAACCAGATTGACTCAACTGTCAGAAACAGCTAAAAAAACTAAAAAAAAAAAAGGGCAAAAAAAATATGGAACAGTAGTTTTTAGATATTAGTCATTACACAACAATTGACAGCAAATGATGCCTGAGAGAAGGGAAATTTGAGGGGAGCCCCACAATCACCCCATCAGCTTACTGCCTGGGAGAGTTTTCAGACTTCCACTTAGTAAGGATCTGTAGCATACTGCTAGTGGGAATGTATATTAGTGCAACCACTTTGTTACAGGATTTGGCATTGTATTCTATAGCTGAAGATTTACATAGCCAGTAGCCTAGCAATTCATTCCACTCTTAGGTGTATATCAATAGAAATTCTAGCACCTGTAGGACAGAATAGATGTAAAAGACTGTTAATACCAGCACTGTTCACAATAGCAAAAACCTGAAAACATCACAAATATTTATTCACAGGAAAACTGTATGAATGAACCATGCTATACATACATAGCAGTCAGAACTAATTAACTACACGGGAACTTGTTGGCATAAGGATAACTCCTAACAATAAGATATTAATGTGGAAAAATAAAGTCCCTAAAGAATAAGTTGAGCATGATTCTCTTTCTGGAAAGTTAAAAATAACTAAAATAAAGGATACATAAAAATCAGTAAAAATACAATTTATCTATGTGAAAAGGAAAGTAACTTCCACTTCTAGGAGCATAGATGTATTTTGCCTTGTTCTTCCCACTAAGTATAAGTAAAAACTCTGCATATAATATATAAGACAAACATCATCCTGTACATTACATACCCATGACTTTTTGATTTTATAACTATTACTTTGTAGTTTTGACCCCCTTTACCTATTTCACCTTCCAGGATATGCCTGGAGTATTGGTGATCCCAGTCAACAAAACAACACCCAGTCGCCTCCACCCGCTGGTTCTTTAGAGGTCGTCATAGAATTTTCTCCTCACCACTCAATCATATCTACTTACATGAGCCATCACCAAAAGAAGAAATTTTTCCGGAGACCAAGAGATATTTCACACTGTATAGTTTTGCGGGCTGCAGTTTCTTTGTTCATTTCATCCAGTCGCTAAACACAGGAAGTCAGGATGGTACCCAAATGGGGAGACAGTGGTAGAAGTTAAGAATGAAGCTCAGATTCAGGGGTTTCCTCGGGCCTGTCGGCTAGAGGGACGCGACCTCCTCCTGCCTGCAAGGAGCTTAAACACGGACATGACAATTGAAAACACAGCTGCTCCCGTTCATCAGGAAAACAGCAGTCAGCATGCTAATCCCTCACTTCTAGGTTATGGAGGTTTTCCAAACTCTGTACCTCTGTAAATAACGTGCCATGTCATGGAATTTCTGGCAACTGACCACTTCGGAATGGAGATATGATCAACAGGTGTCAGGGTCTATTACAACCGCTGCCCCAGAGACACCTCTGAAACATTTTTGGTAGGCAGCGGTGGATGAATGCCATTAACAACCTGGGGGAGGCTGCCAAGAGGTGTAGACATGAAGCAACTGTGGCTTACAGGGCCGTCTCCCTTCTCTGTCACTGGAAACACAATCAGACGGAACTCATCGGAACAGTTTGCACAGAACGGTCCACAATCTCTGGGTCGGGGGGCAAGGGAGGTTTATCTTCACTTCTGCAGAAAGGATAGGGCAGGGGCTTCGCATGCAGCTGCCGGACGGGTCCCATGGAGGCAGCGGACAGAGATGGCAGAGGCCACTGCGGACACCGCGGTCCAGGTCCTGGTTCGCATGGGTAATCCCTGCCCCGCCGTGCTTCCTCAGGCCAAGCGGTGCCGCCGCATCTGCTGGGGCAGGAAAAACGCGGGCTGCGGCTTCTTCCACCGGCAGCCATACTCCACACCTCCGGCCACGGACTTCCTGCGCACCACGTGGCTGGGTCCGCCGGAAGCTCTTCCGGTGCAAAGTTCCTGCTGGCGCCGCACTCTGATAACAGGACCCAGCTGGGATCGCTTTTCCGGTTAAACCGCCTCAGGCAAGAGCGGGAGCGCCGCCGTGGCAGAGCTGCCTCCGTGTGGAAATTGCTTTTCAAGAGCACAAACAGCACTGCTTTTCATGGATCCTTCTTCCCTCAGTTGACACCTGGGAATCTCGTGCCACCGCTGCCTCACAGCCTGCTGCAGGAACCCCTCTACTTCCCTCGCCAGGAGGATGTTGGCGTTCCAGAGAGGCCGGTCGTCCATCGCAAAAACTGTCACATTCTAGCAGGTGTGAGGTGATCTCTATTGTGGCTTTTATTTGCATTTCCTCGAGGATGAGTGATATTGATCATCTTTTCATGTGTCTGTTGGTCACCTGTATATCTTCTTTGGAGAAACGACTGTTCATGTCTTCTGCCCATCTTTTCATGAATTATTTGTTTTCTGGATGTTGAGTTGTAAAATTTCTTTATATATTTTGGATAATAACTCTTTATCAGATATGTCACTTGCAAATATCTTCTCCCGTTCAGCGGTTCCTTTAGTTTTGTTGGTTGTTTCCTGTGCTGTGCAGAAACTTTTTATTTTCATGTAGTCCCAATAGTTTAATTTTGCTTTTGTTTCCCTGAGCTCAGGCGACATATCTAGAAAGACGTTGCTATATCCAGTGTCTGAGAGATTACTGCCTGTGCTCTCCTCTAAGATTTTTATGGTTTCAGGTCTCACATTTAGATCCTTAATCCATTTTGAGTTTATTTTCGTGTATGATAGAAGAAAGTGGTATGCTAAGTGCACAGGAATTAAAACTTAAATAAATAGATAAGTAGATATATAAATAAATAAATAGTTCTTCATAGACTGAAACTTTAAAAAAAAATTCTCACCGTGCAGTTCAAGTCCAGGTGCTGAGGTCAGCTTATATAGCATGGTGTACACCATGGTGACTATAGTCAATAATACTTTATTGCATATTTTAAAGTTGCCAAGACAGGAGTAGATCTTAAAAGTTCTCACAAGAAAAACAAATGTTTTGCAACTATATATGGTGACAGATGTTCATTAGACTTATTGTGATCATTTCACAATATACATAGAATTATCATGTCGTATACCTGAAACTAATATAATGTTATATACATCAAATTTATAAATAAATTAAAAAAAAAAAAAGCAAATATCAGAAGACCTGAAAAGTGGAGCCATCTAGGGATGTTGGGACCCAGTGAAGGATGGCAAAGGATGTTGAAGCTGGTGAGCTTTCTGTATTTTCTTTTTGCTTTATATATGCCAGATGTAAAGCTGAAGAAGCTAGCAACATAGAAACACCCATGGACACAGAGGAAGAAAAAAGCCCCAACAAAACCTACTCTCCCTAGTCAAAGAACCAGGAAAAAGACAGCCTAGCAGGCAGAGAACCTGTAGGCAAAAACTGCTCTATTCCAGCAAACACCACTGAAAAAATTGCGTCCTAACCCCTGCCAGCAAAGACTGAGTGAACAGACTAGACTTCCAACCCCACCACCACCACAATCCCACCACCACCACAACAGGCTATAACAAAGAACTCCAAACCACCAACAGGGGTGATGTGAAAGACAGTAGAGCCAAGACTTTGATGTCCACCACACAGTACTGAGGTCTTCCATGGGTTCAGGGGGGACAAGGTGGGGAACCTAGATTTCCCTCCAACCTGGCAGTAACCTTTCGTTCCACTGTGGCAGTATGAGAGGAAGCTTTGGGGAGATTCAGGACCTTCCTCACCACCCAGAAGTAATAAGGCTACAGGGAGACCACATGAGGAGCAGCAATGAGGGGCACCTAGGTGGCTCAGTCAGTTAAGTGTCCAACTTCAGCTCAGGTCATAATCTCACAGTTGATGAGTTTGAGCCCCACGTCGGGCTCTGTGATGACACCTCAGAGCCTGGAGCCTAATTTAGCTTTTGTGTCTCCTTTCTCTGCCCCTACCCTGCTCATGTTCTGTCTTTCTCTCTCTCTCTCTCTTTCTCTCTCTCTCTCAAAAATAAATGAACTTTTTTTAAAAAAGATAATTATCTTTTTTAAAAAGACAGAGATGATAGTAATGTTAATGTTATCTGATAAAGATTTTAAAGCAGCCATGATATGAAATGCATGTGCACAATTATAAGCACATTTGAAACAAATGAAAAAATTAAAAGTCTCAGTAAAAAAATAAATAAATAAAACAGTATCAGGAAAGAAGGTAAAAATAAGAAATAATGGAAATTTTAGAACTCAAAAAAAATTTTTTTTTTTTTAAATTTTTATTTATTTCTAGGAGAGAGAGAGAGAGACAGCATGAGCAGGGGAGGGTCAGAGAGAGAGGGAGTCACAGACTGAAACAGGCTCCAGGCTCTGAGCTGGCAGTCAGCACAGAGCCCGACGCGGGGCTCGAACCCACGAACCGCGAGATCATGACCTAAGCGAAAGTCGGACGCTCAACCGACTAAGCCACCCAGGCACCCCAGAACTCAAAAAAAATTTCTAATTAAATAAAAACCTCACTGGATAGGATCAATAGCAGAATGGATGCACAAACAAAAAGTAGAATAAAATAAGTAAAAATTAGCGAATCTAAACAATAGAAAAAAATTCGACCAAAAATATTAACAGAACTTTAGATACCAATTCTACAAAATCTCTTCTAACAAGAAAGTATAAAATAGAAAGGAAAAGGATACTTCCCGATTCATTTATGAAGCCAGTTTTAGCCTGATACCAAAACACAGACAGTACTAAAATAGAAATCTACAGGCCAACATCCCTAAAGAACATAGACGCAAAAATCCTTAAAATATTTTAATAAAATCCTTAAAATAAAAATAAAATGTCAGCAACTAGAATTAAACAGTATATGAAAAGAATTTTATGCTATGACCAAATGGAGCCTTACAAATTCCCAGAAGAAAAATCCCAGGATTATATCAATAGATGCAGAAAAGTATTGACAAAATTCAATACTCATTTATTTAAAAAACTCTCAGCAATGTGGATGAAACTGGAGAGTATCATGCTAAGTGGCATAAGTCAGGCAAAGAAAGATAGATACCATATGTTTTCACTCATATGTGTATCTTGAGAAACTTAACAGACCATGAGGGAGGCAAAGGGGAGGAAAAAAGTTACAGAGAGGGAGGGAGGCAAACCATAAGATACTCAAATACTGAGAATAAACTGAGGGTTGATGGGGGGTGGGGGAGAGGGGAAAGTGAGTGATGGGCATTGAAGAGGGTACTTGTTGGGATGAGCACTGGGTGTGGTACGGAAACCAATTTGACAATAAGTTATCTTTAAAAAAAAAAAAAAAGGAAAAAAAAAAGCAAGAATAAAGAGCCCTAATAAAGAACATCTTTAAAAACCTTCCAACAGCTGTTATATTTATGGTGAAATACTGATGCTTTCCCCTGAAGATTAGGAATAAGATAAGGGTATCCACTTTCACGACTTTTATTCCAGAAGGTCTAGCCAATGCAATAATGCAAGAAAATGATATAAAAGCATACAGATCAGAAAGGAGGGTATAAAAGTGTCCCTGGTGCAGAGGACTGATTGTCTACATAGAAGATCCCAAGGTGCTCTCTTTGGCAGCACATATACTAAAAGTAGAAAGAAGATCCCAAGGAATTTCCAAAGAAAACCTCCTACGACTTATAAGTTAATTCAGTAAGGTTGCAGGATACAAATAAACAAAAATATCAATTATATTTCTATACCCTAGCAATAAATACATGTGGACACCAAAATTTAAAATATATCATTAAAAATTGCATAAAAATAGGTGTAAATCAAACACCGCATGTACAGGATTTGTACTACAAACTATAGAACATTAATAAAGATTTAAATAAAAGAAGAGCCAAAGCACATTCATGAATTAATAGATTCAACATGGGAAAGCTCTCAGTTCTCCCCAAATTGATACATGGGTTTAACACAATTCTACCAAAGTCCCAGCAAGGGATGTAGACAAAGTTATTCTAGAGTTTATATGGAAAGGCAAAGGAACAATAAAAATTCACCAAGTATACTCCTGAGCATTTATCCTAGAGAAGTGAAGACTTATGTTTAAAAAAAAAAAAAAAAAACTCTTCACAAATATTCATAGCAACTTTATCTGTATAGCTCAAAACTGAAACAATCCAATTATCATGTGTTGGGTAATGGTTAAAACTGCAGTACATCCATACCATGGAATACTACTTGCCAATTAAAAGGAATGAAATTGGTACATGCAACAGTCTGTATGAGTTTCCAGAGAATTATGCTGAGAGGGAAAAAAAATCCCAAAATGAATCAGATCCATTTGTAAAACATGCTTGAAATGACAAAACTGTAAAAGTGGGGAACGATTTAGAAGTTACTAGGGCTAAGGAGAGATTGAGGGCCAGGGAGAAGCTGATATGACTACGACATAACTGATCCTTTTTGTGATGGAAATATTTTCTTTAGTGTTTACTTATTTGTTTTGAGAGAGGGGGAGGGAGAGCATGCCTGAGTAAGAGAGGATCCTGTACAGGCTCTGACTGTCAGCACAGAGCAGGACGCAGGGCTCCATCTCAACACTGTGAGATCTTGACACGAGCTGAAGTCAAAGGTCGGATGGACGCTTAATGGACTGAGCCATGCAGGCGCCCCTCAGTGATGGAAATATTTTATGTCTTGACTGTATCAGTGTTAACATTCTGATTATAATGTTATACTATAGTTTTTCAAGATGTTGCCACTGGGGGAATTTGGGTAAAGGGTACACAGAATCTTTCTGTTATTACTTAAAAGGTGTGTGAATCTCAAATTATTTCAGGATAATGGCTGATATTTTTACAGATAGGAAAACAATGAAACGAGCAATACAGTTTCAGAATGATGGTAATCTTGTGTAGAGAGTCAGGAGATAGAGGAAGGGAAGACCATTTAGTTGTAGGATTTTATCAAGGTCCTTGCTCATATTTAGGGTGATGAGTTTTCAGAGTTTATCATATGATTAATGATACCTAAGTAGATAATTAAAAGTGAAAGTTTAAAAATGAAACATGACAGTTTTAAATTCGGTCTCAGAATCTTATATCCTCAATAAAATATGGTGGCTGGACAATGCTATAAATTCACCTAACTCATTTATTTTCCTCTCAGGTTCAGAGAAAGGCTGCTTGGAGAACCACCCCAGAGAGCCTCCTGACTATGGATATCTGCATTGGCTACTGCAGGAGCTAGAAAGAAACCTGGTTTAAGCCACTGTGATTTGCATGTTTATTTATTATTACATTGCCATCTAGCCTACTCTAATACACGTGCTTAAAAAGAGCCCTGATACATGATGAGAACTCACAGCAATGAAAACTAGCACTAGCATTTTATTGCTAAAATCTGGAGAAATGGCCACTATTTGTAAAGTCCTTAGAATTGGATTGAGAAATATGACTGGTGATCCATGAATGTGTTGGCACTGGGTTGCAGAAAACCTGATGGCTGAAAAGAAGGTAGAAAGATGCTTTGCCCTCCCCACTGTCTGCCCTGGCACAGAAATGCAAAGACACTGCCAACCAAACAATGGAGCCACCACTCCTCGACTACAGTGAAGCTTCCAACAAATGCTGGCTCCCTCCTCTTCCACTTCTAGCCCATCCTCGCCAGATTCATTGTAAGTAAAAGGACATTATAGGTGTATTTAAAACTCCCTTGTGACCTTCTCAAATTCTCCGTTCTTCCTTATTTATCTGCTCTGAATATGATGTCTGTCATTTCTGTCTATATTTTTATACTTTTACTATGTGTGTATTTGTCCCAAAGTAATATAGCTTGAGCTATTTTTTTTAATGTCATTTATTCTTGAGAGAGAGAGAGAGAGAGAGAGAGAGAGCATGAGCAGGGGAGGGGTAGAGAGAGAGGGAGACACAGAATCTGAAGCAGGCTCCAGGCTCTGACCTGTCAGTACAGAGCCCCACATGAGACTTGAACTCACAAACTGTGAGATCATGACCTGAGCCGAAGTCAGAGGCTTAACCGAATGAGCCACCCAGGCACCCCTAGCATGGGCTATTTTAAAAGATTTATTTCGGGGCGCCTGGGTGGCTTAGTCGGTTGAGCGTCCGACTTTCGCTCGGGTCATGATCTCGCGGTTCGTGGGTTCGAGCCCCGCGTCGGGCTCTGTGCTGACTGCCAGCTCAGAGCCTGGAGCCTGTTTCAGTCTGTGACTCCCTCTCACTCTGACCCTCCCCTGCTCACGCTGTCTCTCTCTCTCCTAGAAATAAATAAAACATTAAGAAAAAAAATTTTTTTAATAAAAAAAAATAAAAGATTTATTTCAACACTAGTCTAGCCTATGAATCCTTCAGCAACTTGCATTGTCATTTAATGCCATGTTTTCTATATTTATTCAAATCTGTAACAGTTTGTTCATGTTAACTGCTACATATATTCAATATTCCACAATTTTTGTTCATACTTCTATTAGTATGTTGCATATACATTTTGGCTATTAGAATTTATATTCCAAAGAGCATTTTTGTGTGTCTCATTATGCATATTTGTAAGCATTCTCTCAGGCATCTATGTAAGAGTATAGAAATCTATGACTATTCTGGATGTAGTCAAGTTACTGTCACTGTAGTATACCAGTTTATGCTGCCATCAGTAGAGTATGGATTTCTATTTCTCCTCATATTCAATAATAATTAATATTTTCAGACTTCTAATGAGTATAAAATGCTCATTTTGAGTAATCTCATTTTTAAATCTTCAGTTTCCTGATTATCAGTGAACTTGAGCATTTTTCATATGCTTATTGGCCACTTAGGGTGTAATTCTATTCATCACTTGTTCATATCTCCTGTCCATTTTCCAACTACGCTTTCTTTTTTCTTATTGATTTATAGAATTTTCTGCATGGGGCACTTGAATGGCTCAGTTGGTTGAGCGTCTGACTTCAGCTCAGGTTGTGATCTCACAGTTGGTGAGTTTGAGCCCTGCATCAGGCTCTCTGCTGTCAGCATGAGGCCTGCTTCAGATTCTCTGTCCCCCTCTCTCTCTGCACCTCCCCCAGTCACTCACTCTCTTTCTCTCCCTCTCTCTCTCAAAAATAAATAACATTTAAAAAATTTTTCAATGTATTCAACATATTAATTATTACTCACTTATATGCTTTGAAAATAATTTCTCACGGTCTATGGCTTTTCTGTTCACCTCACTAATGAAATCTTCTGCCATGTAAACCTTACATACAAAATTTACCAGCCAAAAATCTTTTCCTTTATGATTTAAGGTTTGTGGGTCTATCCCACCACTTTATAATGTCAACTCTTTCACTTACCAAACATTTATATATACATGACAATATTTCTGGTTCTCTATTCTGTTGTATTGATCTGTTGGTTTATTCCTATATCAATTATTACTGCAGCTTCACTAAAAGTTCTGATGTCTGCTAAACCACATTCCCCAGCCCATTTTCTTAAATTGTTTTTGCTATTCCTGTCCTATTACTCTTTAAATAAATAAAGTTTAGGATTGACTTGCAAGTTTGCCTTTAAAAAAGACTTTTTAATATTTAGAGAACAAACAAAACTTTCTTTTATGTAATTATCTTTTCAGAATCAATAATAGAGAGGATGCTAACAATTAATGCATGTCAAAAAAAATTTTTAAGATAATGATTTATGTTACTAAACAAATGCGTGCAGGTATCATAAAAACTTTATGTATTTTTTCTATGTGAAGTTCTTGGTAGAGGGCATGAGGGACTGCTGGGCTGGGAAGACTAGATATGACTTCACTTTTTTGAATCCCAGAGACTAGCAACCTCTGAAGATCACATAATAATTAAAACTGTCAATCCAGTGTGTTTCATTTAAGAAACTTTTAATGGAGAAAAGAGTTAAGATACTTAATTCCACTGAGATGCCGTAGACAACACTTTGATATTGCACTCCATTGATCAGAATTATTTTTTTTCTGAGCCAAGTGCATTTTCAATTGCAAAATAGAATAAAATAAATTTCCTTTAATTCTTTGCTGTTCAAAGAATTTGTGTATTGTATTAGTCAGGATTCTCTAGAGAAACAGAACCAGTAGAATGTGTGCATGTATAGAGAGAGAGATTATTTTAAGGAAATGGCTCATATAATTATTGAGGCTGGCAAGTCCAAAATCTCTAGGGTAGGCAGGCAGGCTGAATACTCATGGAAGAAATAATGCTGTAATTTGAGTTCAAAGGCAAAATTCATCAGCTGGCAAAATTCCCTCTTCTTTGGAGAGGTCAGTTTTTTTCTTAAGACCCTCAACTTATTGGATGAGGCCCACCAACATCATGGAAAGTCATCTTCTATACTCGAAGTCAACTAATTTAAATGTTGATCTCATCCAAAAAATACATTTACAGAATCCATTAATGTTTAGCCAACCATCTGAGTACCATGATCTGGCCAAATTCACACATAAAATTAACTGTCACAGGTATTCGAAATGAATTTCATAAAATATATGAAACTAGATATTTCAGGAAACACTTTCTGCAAGGAAAAAGAAATGTGACAGTGTTACAGGATAAATCCTTTTTTTTTTTTTTTTTTTTTTTGAGAGAAAGAGCAAGGGAGAGGGGCAAAGGGAGAGAGAGAGAGAATCTTAAGCAGCACAGAGCCCAATACAGGGCTCAACCCCACAACCCTGGGATCATGACCTGAGCCTAAATCAGTCACTCAAATGACTGAACCACTCAGGTGCCTCAAGATAAATTCTACGCTATGGGCTAGTAAAGAAAAACTTGCTTTTGCCAATAAATGTGTTTTCTGAACATTCTAAATTAAATACAAAAAGGGAGAAACTGATGAAGTTTCATATTTCATACTGTTCTAGAGTCTCCACATAGAGTTAGGGTTTTGTCTCCTGAGTTTTCAGGGATAGGAGAATTGACTTTTCTAATTTTGCTAAGAGGTTAACGAGGTCATTCATACCAATATTTTTCCCAGTATTTTTTTTCAGTTTGAACTAAATTCTTTTTTATCTGAATCTCAACTTAAAAATGTTGGTCATGTAAAAATGCTGTAAAGATTTTTTATCAAGTTGGACATAAAATAGCTTTTTTATTCTAGTATTTCAGGAATTGAATGACTTTTGAACACAAAGCTAAAATCCGCCATCTCGTGTAAACTCGGAATCATAGTTGCATTGGTGTTTGGCAGTTATAGCTGGGCTATTTTATTGCCGTCATATTCTCCATATATTTCTTCTTTAAAAGGAAATTGCTTGAAAAAAAAATCCAGTGACTCCCAGCTTTTCCTGCCAATTGTCTAATTGACTGTAACTAGGCTCTATGGGCTGTCTATATGCATAATATGCCAGATTTTCAGACAACAAAGAATTGGACAAGCACCTATTGTGTGTGTGCTGGTGGAGGGAGGTGAGTAAAACTTTTCAAGTTGCCCAAGGATGAGAAGGCTAGGACGCCCCCCCACCCCCCCACCCCCGTCCACACACACACACACACACACACACACACACACACACACACTGTTTTGCTCTGTGTCAGTAACTAGCAGACATCCTTATGTACTTACAGGTAACTGCTCAAGCTAAGAGCTTTCTGCTTTCTTGGCTCTTTGCCCCCCGGAAGACATCCCATCAACAGAATTTTTTTCAAAGACCACCTTGAACTTTGTGTGCAGCTCTTGCTGATTGACTTTGGACTCGGTTTTGTTTTGGGTTATTTTTTTTCCCTCTCTTTCTCTAATCTTCTATATTTGGGTTTCTTTTAATATTTCTTTATTATTTTTCATTTATTGTCTAAACCTTTAAGCTCTTCTACTTTTATATTCTAAACTTTTATATCAAGCATCAAGTTAAAGCCAACAGCTACATTTTGTAAGCTCCAGTAGACTCCTTTGAGTGTGCTCCTCAACAGCAAAGATTCCTTCTAAAATAAGGCAGATGCCTGCAGCTTTTATTATTTATAGTACCATTTTATAGTTTTACCTCCTTTTATCTCTTCAAATATCAGGGAAAGAACTGAGGCAGGCACTAGTGTGGATGTGTTACATTTACTGCATCAGTCCAATATCCAGTTTTGCACCTCACTTCATCAGAACTCCTTTCTTCCTGGCCCAAGTCAGTTCCAGGAAGATGATATGGTTATCATCCTACTCTCAAGCCAATTTTTGTGATGATTTTACAATTTTTATCCACTCAACACATCCGAGAATTAATCATGTAGAGGGAAATGAACGATACATGCATATACTTAATCCAGGTGTTGACTCAAGTGACCCCTCTCTCTTTTCTTCCTATTTTGCTGGAATCCTTTCCTGATATTTTGGGGGTGACTTCTATTACTGCAATGGACGTGTGAAGAATTAGAGCAAATGTCACTCACCAAATCATTGTGCATCGCCTCTTGACTTAACGCCTTTCACAATTATATGAATCCCAAACCCCAAGGTTCTGCCTGGAGCCAAAAACATGCCACATCTACATGACACAAAGGAGGTTAACCTTGAAGTGCATCATACCAAATGGAACCCCATTCCTTGCCAAAAGCTTTGCAGGCATCTGTCACAACATTTATCTCCCTGCAAGCCAGCAGCAGCGATCACACTGGTTTCTAACATTCCAGTCTCTTCCCCTCCATCTTCTTCAGACCTTGCTCCAAATGCATCGACTAGGTTTCCTCCTCCCGCCCAGCACACCTCACTTTCTTTGCATTATGAGCTTCCCTGGCACACCATACAACAATTATTGTTCCCAGTGCCAAGAAATTCCTTTAACATACACAGAATTGGCATGTACCTTTCAGGGCTGTTTCTGAACTCAGTCTTCTGCTCATTAATACCATACAATTTCAACTCTTTTAGTTTGTAATTGTTTGAGGTTTCTTAAGTAATACATGTACATAATATTTATTTCAAAAGTTCCAAAGGGCATAGAGTGAAAAGTACATTTTCTTCTCATAGCAGCCTTCATCATGAGCTCCCCTTCCCGAGATAACTACTAAAAATAGTTTGGTTGTGTTTTCCAAGACACGCTTCTTTATTTATACAGAGAGATAGCAATCCAGTTTATGGAGAAATATCAGACAGTGCAGTTTAAATTGTGAGAGCCTTATTTTTTTAAGCACTAAATTCAGCTGAGCTCTGAAGAATCTCCTTTCTTGTCCTGGGTGACCTCTTTGGCAGATCCTGGAACTTTCTTGCCACTGTCAGTTAAATTTCATTTTAATTTGTTTAAAATTCCCACCTCATATCCACTTTAAATTTCCTCTCCTCTCCTCTCCTCTTCTCACTGAGAGCACTACCTCAATGGGCTTAGAGTTGGGAAGGTGCTCTTTTCATTGTGTTGATGAAGAAGGAGAGGGTCTGGTTCCTTTTCTGGATCAGGCATTTGGGATGGGGGTGGGGAGGACTAGAAGCAGAGACCTTCTTACATCACTGGCAGCCTATCGATCTTCGGGAGGCTCAGCTTGTCTTTCTCTGGCTCCGTCTAGTCCCACCTGCTTCTGGGAGCTTCTGCTGGTACAGAGGTGTCTCCAGAGGTGGGATGATTCTCCTGAGGCCCAGCGGTACCACACCTTCCTTTGTTGTTGAGAGCCACCTCAGAAAGTGGCATCTATGTCTCCTTTCAGCTTTTTTTCATAAGAAAAAAAAAAACTATGCCCCTCTTATGAGCTGAACTGTCACCCCCAAAATTCATTTATTGAAGTACTCAGAATGTGACTGGAGATAGGGCTTTTAAAGAGAGACAAAGTTACAATGAAGCTGTTAGGGTGGACCTTAATCCAATCTGAGTGGTATCCCTTTTAAGAAAAATTTAGACACACAAAGAGATATCAGGGCTGCACACACACAGGGAAGATCATGTGAGGACACAGCAAGAAGGCAGCCATCCACAAGCCAAGGAGAGAGGCCTGGGAAGAAACTGAAGTTGCT